CACAGTACCTGCAATGGGTAGGCTCCATTGCAATTGTAGGTCCAGGCCTACCTAAAACTACCTCCATCTTTCCCAACAGGGAGCAGAGATCTTCCAAGCTACTTGTGCTGAACTACTCGTTCAGAGAGTTTTGTTGTATGGATTTGCCAAGACGTAACTCTTCAACTTTCTCTCCCTCCTCCAGAACTGCCTCTCAATCCCCGATATCAAGACGGCGTTCAGCGACTGCATCAACAAAATTGGGAAGAGGGATTGCTTGACCCAAAGTTGCTCGGCCCTCACCGGGTAGGTAGGGAGCCTCCCGGGGGAAGGAAAACAAGGGGACATGAAAGAAAGGCCAGGTCAAAAGGCGGTCAAGTCACTCTTAGGACCCCCTACTCAAATAGTATTGACCTGGATTCTGGAGGCGCCTAGAATCCAAGAATGTAAGACTCGCAAGGGGCTTTGGAGGGCCTCTTGTCCAGCGATGGCGAACCTTTTTGTTGCGGTGTGCCGAAAGCACCTGCGCGCTGGCACCCACAATGCAATGCGTCCCCCCCCCACACATGTGCATGCAACACCCCCACCCCCTTACCTGCACTGCGCATGCACATGCTTCCCAGCTGATTTTCGGCCTGTTTGAGGCCTTTTTCACCCTCCCGGGAAGCCTCTGCGGCCTTGGGAGGCCGAAAAACAGGCCTTTTGGAAATACTGGAAGTGCCCGTTTTCAGCCTCCGGAGGGCCTCTGGAGCCTGGGGGAGGCCATTTCGCCCTCCTGGAGGCTTGAGGGGAGCCTCTGTAGCCTCAGGAGGCTGAAAACGGGCCCGTTTCGGCACTTCCGGTATTTCCGGAAGGCCCGTTTTTCGGCCTCCCGAGGCTGCAGAGGCTTCCCTCGAGCCTCAGGAGGGTGAAAAAAGGCCTCAAATGGGCTGAAAATCAACTGGGAGGTGCATGCATGTGCAGTGCAGGTAAGTTTGGCTGGGTCTTGTGTGCCCACACAAATGGCTCTGAGTGCCACCTATGGCACACGTGCCCTAGGTTTGCCATCATAGCTCTAGTCCAACCCCCGCCCAAGGCAGGAATACACCACTGGAGCACCCCAACCATCGAATAGCCGTTGAGTAGGGGACGAAAGTCCGTTACAGGTAGTCCTCGACTTACAACAGTTCATTTAATGACCAGAGTTTCAATAGCACTAAAAAAGGAAGTGACTCATGATCGTATTTTTCCACGCTTAACCACCGTTGCAGTATCCCCCATGATCACCTGAAATGAATCGCAGACACTTGGCAACTGACTCCAGAACTATTTATGACGGTTGCAGCGTCCTGGGGTCAGGGGATCCCCCTTTTTGCGACCTTCTGACGAGCAGAGTCAACGGGGATTCACTTAACAACAGGGTTACTAAACTGCAGTGATTTGGTTAACCACAGTGGCAAGAAAGTTCACACAATGGGCCAAAGCTCACTTAGCCAATTTCTCACCAAACCACAGAAACTTGGGGCTCCATTGTGGTAATAGAATAGAATAGATATAGAATTCTTTATTGGCCAAGTGTGATTGGACTCACAAGGAATTTTGGTGCAAATGCTCTCAGTGTGCATAAGAGAAAAGATACATTTGTCAAGAGTCAAGAATCATCACATATAACACTTAATAGTCATAGGGTACAATAAGCAATCAAATCATACTAGGAAACAATCAAATAGGATATTGGAATATAGAATAGAGTAGAGTAGAACAGAACAGAACAGAATAGAATATAATTCTTTATTGGCCAAGTGTGGTTGGACGCACAAGGAATTTGTCTTGGTGCAAATGCTCTCAGTGTACACAAAAGAAAAGATTCATTCGTCAAGAATCATAAGGTCCAACACTTAATAATAGGCATAGGGTACAAATAAGCAATCAAATCATACTAGGAAACAGTCAATATAAATCGTAAGGATACAAGCGACAAAGTTACAGTCCTACAGTCACAAGTGGGAGGGGATGGGCGATAAGGAGTGATGAGAAGATTAATAGTAATAGTAGTGCAGACTTTGTAAATAGTTGGACAGTGTTGAGGGAATTATTTGTTTAGGAGAGTGATGGCGTTCGGGGAAAAACTGTCCTTGTGTCTAGTTGTTCTGGTGTGCAGGGCTCTGTAGTGTCGTTTTGAGGGAAGGAGTTGAAAACTGGACAGCCCTGTCAGGGAAGGCCAAATACAGTATTTAGAACCCCCTAAAAGGGGTTTTATGAAGAAGGCCTCTCTTAAAAGACTAGGACCAGGGGTGGGCTTCAAAAATTTTAGCTACCGGTTCTCTGCCCGGTTGCTGGGTGGGTGTGGCCTAGTCGGCCTCCTGCATCACGGCGGGGGAGGGGTGTTTTCACCCACCCTGGGCTCCCGAGGCTTTCCTCAAGTTTCCGGGAGAGGGAAAATGGCCTCCCCGGGCTCCGGAGGCCCTCTGGAGGCAGCAAATGGGCCCGTTTCTGGCCTTCCTGTGCTTCCAGGAGGCCCTTTTTCACCCTCCCTGAGCCTCCGCGCGGGCCCTGTACTTTCCTTGGATCCAGAACGGGCCATGGGGAGACTCCTGGGAGGGGTGGGCGGGGCCAGCCAGGACTGGGATTTGCCAGTTTGCTGAACCAGCAATTAAAAATGATAAAATTAGCAAACCGGTTTGCGCAAACTGGGGCGAACCGGTAGCGGCCTACCCGACTAGGCCCATCCCGCAGAGGATTTGGAAGTCATGCTGGACCCTTCGGTGTCTCTCCCCCTTTCTACAGGAAAGGCGTCAACGAAGGCATCGAGTGGATGGTCAGGTCCGTGGTGAGGAACATTCATCGTCCCCCGAGGCAGAAGGACATCACATAGGAGAACCACCCAGCGATCTCCACGCCGGACACTTTGGCCCTGCACAGAGCCTCTCCTCCTCCTTCTCTTCTCCCTCGTTTCTCCTCCCCTCTCTCTGTCCCTCAAGGAGATTCCAGGGACGCCCCCGGATCAAAGACAAATGGATCCATCTTGCAAGAGACCTCAACCCCCTACAGAACCTCCTTTCCTTCCTGCTTTGTCCCGCCTCCTGAGCATGGAGTGGGACGGGGTGAATTGATGTTCCAAATATGCGCAGGACACGTCCCGTTTTTTTTGGTTTTTTTTCCCCTTCTTGTTTCTTTTGCAAAACTCTTGTCAGGAGTTTGAAGACTTCTGGGGCTACTTGATCAAACGGAGCCATGGAATTAGGGGGAAATCCCCTTTTCCAGTGATCTTCTGGGCCGTTCCACAAATCTGATTTTGCACTTGGGTGGAAAAGGAGCGATCAGCAGTAGGGGGACAGACGGACTCTTCTTTTATAGCAAATGTACACCTCACAAATGCTGCAGAGAGAGAGGGAATGAGAGAGAGAGAAAGAGAGAGAGAGAGAGAGAGAGGAGAGAGAGAGAATGAGAGAGAGAGACAAAGAGAGGGGAGAGTGGAGAGAAAGAATGAGAGAGGGAGAGGGGGGGAGAGAAAATGAGAGAGAGAAAGAGAGAATGAGAGAGAGCGAAAGAGAATGAGAGAGACACAGAAAGAGGAGAGAGAGAGAGAGAGTGAGTGAGACAGAGAGAGAGAGAGAGAGAGAGAGATATCCTGCTGGATCTCTCTGTCCTTTTTTCATCTCGGTTCCTATATTTGTGCACAGGATTAAAACTGATTTCTAGTTCTTTTCTTTTCTGGTCTGTTGCTTTTCTCTACGGTGTGAGTAGAAAAAAAAGAGAGCCAAGGATTTGTGTTAAAGAAGGACTAGCTGAGGAAAAGTTCTGGCTCTGGTCGCGAAATGGGACAACACGCCTCAGCCGACTGATCTCTGGACAATTCAGCGATTCAATTTAATTGTTGACAATCATTTTTTTTAAAAAACGATTCTAATGTTTTGTCACTCCCGTTTTCATTTTCGTATCCTTTCCTTCATGATTCTATCCCACTCTTTCTTCGGTATCAGTTTAACTCTTGTCCCGCAGCGAGTTGGCCGGTGATGAGTTAGTTGTGACGACTCGGCCGCAGCAAGTTGTCCAGAGCGAATTTACTTTAGTTTACTTTATTGTTCTTGCACCTCGTACAATGAAATTAAATGCCATCTTCAGTGTACATTATATATAAGAAAACTATAAAAATAAAACACAAACACATATCCTTCACATTCTATACATTGAATTGAAAACCCCTGATATTGCATTAATGTTGCACTATACAGTAGAATTCAATAGAGTTACTGCCCTGGGATAGAAGCTGTTTTTAAGCCTATTTGTCCTTGTTTTTATTATTTATTATTTTTAAAAGGCTCCAAAGATCTATATTCATCAAGAACAGACAGATGTTTTCTCTTACCATTTTTTTTTTGGCTTCTTTTAAGTTTTATTTTAATTTAATCTTAACTTTTAACTAAATTTTAACTTTAACTCAACTAAGATCCACTTAGTTGAGGATGCTTTGTCCTTATGCCTGTTCTTCCCTGGAAAATTGGACAATAAAACTTTATTGTCATTGCATATCATACAACGAAATTAAATACCATCTTCAGTGTACTATACAGTAGAATTCAATAGAGTTACTGCCCTGAGATAGAAGCTGTTTTTCAGCCTATTTGTCCTTGTTTTTATTATTCTGTACCATCTGCCAGATGGTAATAGATCAAAAAAAGGGTGCCCAGGATGAGATGGATCTTTGAGAATGTTTGGAACTTTCTTAAGGCAGCGGGAGCTATGAAGCTCTTCCAAAGAGGGGAGAGGACAACCAAAGATCCTCTGGGCAATGACGTTCACCCTCTGGAGTGCTTTCCTATCTGCCCCTGTGCAATTGGCAAACCATACAGAGGTGCAGTAAGTTAAAATACTCTCTATGGTGCAGCGGTAGAAGGTCACCAGCAGTTTTTCATTCAGTTGTTGTTTTCTGAGAAGTCTCAGGTAGTCTAATCTCTGCTGGGCCCTTTTGACCAGGGCTGCAATGAGAACCCCCAGGTCAGGTCCTCTTTTATGGTAACACCCAGAAACTTAAAACTGGCCACTTGCTCCACTCGGTCTCCATGGATAAGCAAGGGCTGGATGTCTGATCTGTTCCTTCTATAGTCCACTATAAGCTCCTTGGTCTTATTGGTGTTGAGGACCAAGTTATTGTCTCCACACCACGGAAGCAACCGGTCCACCTCATCTCGGTAGGCAGACTCACCCCGCTTGGAGATGAGTCCCACCACTGTTGTATCATCTGTAAATTTAGCAATAGTATTACTAGCGTGAGTGGGAATGCAGCCATGCACATAAAGAGTATAGAGAGTTGTCCAAGGCTTCTCTGGTCATCCTGTTTAAATGAGGAAAAGGAATAACCAGGAACCAGTTTATCAATGGGTGACAGGCGTTGCAAGAGCCCAACTTCTGAAGCGATTGTAAAAAGATTACGGCCCATGAAATCTTCATTATCCCTTAGTCCAGCATTGACCTGAATGGGATTTGTGGCTCTCTTACATTTTGTGCAATGGAGACAGTCAGCCTGGCATAATGTCCGATGGAAAATGAGGTCATCTTCACAAAACCTCATCATCAGTTTTAGAGGGGAGTGTGGTTTGTGGAGTGTAGGAGAAGAAGGGAGGAAGAGAAGGAGAAGAGAGAGGGAGGAAGGGGGCAGAGGAAGGAGTGCAAGTACTTTCTAAGCTGGGTTGTTTTCTTGCAGACGTTTCATTACCCAACTAGGTAACACCATCAGTTTTAGAAGGATGTGGGGTTTGCGGGGTGTGGGAGAAGATAAGTAGGTAAAGGGGGAGAAGAGAGAAGGAGGGGAGAGGAGGGGCAGAAGGAGGAGGAGGAGGAAGATTGTGGGGTCCTTGGTGCTCTCTGAGCTTGCATTACCCAACTAGGTAACATCATCAGTTTTAGAAGGGTGTGGGGTTTGCGGAGTGGGAGCAGAAGAAGGAGGTGAAGGGGAGGAAGAGAAGGAAGAGGAGAAGGAGGGAGGGGCAGAGGAAGAAGGAGGAGGAAGACTTTCCTAGAAGACATTTCGCTGCAATTTTCCATTGAGGAAACTTTGCAAACAAAAAAAATGCATGTTATGTAATCAGATTATTTTAGCATTACTGATGTAGTCTCTTGGCATTTTACACGTCTTCCTGGAAAAATAATGCGAAAATGATTGAATGGAATCAATCACGGAACTCCAGATGGAAAACCCACCCCACAATCCAGGGCCTGCCAGTTTAAATATGTCATTTTTTTTTCTCCTTATCTCGATGACACGGAGTGTTGTCCCCCTTTTTCATTCAGCCTAATCTGGTGTGAGTCATTTTTTATTCCCGCAGATTTAGCTCCCTTTCAGTTTACTTCTGGAATAAAGTAAGTTAATCAGTTTCCTGCCGGTCTCTACTAGAGAAAGTGTGAAAGGCTTGTAATCATTTCTTGGCTGTGAAACTGGAATGATAGTGGAAATTTTAATTTTTTGCCAAGACATTTTTTTTTTCAGTGACCTCAATGTGACCAGCCTACAGTCCCGAACCTGTGTTGGAAGAAAATCTCCTTCTGGGTTCAGTTCCAAGTGGGGAAGAAAGACACTGGAAACATGGAAGAGGCTGTTTGGAAAGATGGTTTAATGGTGGACAGGACCTCATGGATTGGGGGATCCTGGTCAAAGAAAAAGGAAGAGATGCTGAGAGTCCCTGGGTTTTATGCCCTCTCTGGGCTTTGAACTTCCTGGGGCACAGGAAGAGCATCCTGATTGGTTGCTGCCAGAGGTCATAGCTAGCTTTGTAGGTTGTCTTGTGGGCTAAGTTTGGTTGAAACTTGGTGGGCGGTGCAATGAAGGGCAATTAAATGGCTCTGTCTGAAGGAGTAGGTCTTTGTTATGTAGAATAAGACCTAGGCCCCAGGACTTAATGGCCCGTTAACAAAGGTGGGAGTGGGGATGAATTTCTTCCTCTCTTGAGCTTCTACTTCTCTTTTAGGGGAAATATTCTGCCTTTTTAGTATATCCTAAAATATTTAATTTTTCTAGGAGAGGGATGGGTTTTAACATCCAACGCTGCTTTGTTTTATCATGCTCTCTGTCGGGATTCCAGCAATCGCCCTAATTAAACCATGATTCTCGAGCCAATCTTCAAAAAACTTCAAAGGATTTATTAGAGGTGACATACTGCCCTGTATGTCGCCTCTAATAAATCCTTTGAAGTTTTTTGAAGTTTGGCTCGAGAATCATGATTTAATTAGGGCGATTGCTGGAATCCTGACAGCAAGCCAACTCTGGCCTACGTCATTTACAGTCCCCTGTGACCCTGTTCCCCCCCCCCCCTGTGTCTCATAAACCAGATTCCCCAATTGAGCACATTCACGACGGGCTGGGTGTCATCATTCACGTTCTCCAATGAAATATATTCACTGGCAAAACTCTGGTAGTTTAGTTACAATCTTTTAAAGATAAGAGTTGGGATGTACTTTCCCTTTCAAACTGCTGCACTGCTCTTCCAGATTTCCTTCCTCCCTTCCCTCTTTTTTATGGCAACTACAAAGACAGGCATAGGAATGTTTTACGAGTTAACACTCTCTATGTTGCAAATAGAAGCATCTCTCCTTGTATCCTCTGGATGACAGGTAGCATAAGGCACAGGTGATCCTCGATTGAAAACTGTTTGTTTAGTGACCATTTGAAGTGACAACGGCACTGAAAAAAGTTGACTGATGATGACTGGCGTTATTGTTCTGACCCAAACCTGGTTCCAAGCAAGCAAACACAAGACAAAAATAACAGCTCAACCTTTTAATGTTTCTTTACGAATCCTGTTCCTTCACGGGTAAAAGTCTGCTTCAAACCCATTAGCTCTGATAAGAAAGAGCCTTGCCAAGCTTTCGCAAGGCTGCCAAGAACACCAGATAAAGTTACTAAGCAATAATTCAAATGCAAAGAGTCTTCAAACACCAACTCAGATATTCCTAATTATCCACCAGGCTCGAGTATCAAACTTCTTTGCCTTCTGCAAAGAACTGCAGTTTCTCAGCTGGCTTTTATCTTCTCAGGGAGGGGCCATTACTTTGCAGCTTTACTCCCGAGTCGCCTGTGCTGCTACAGCTGCTCTTTCCTTCAAGCAGCCCTGCACGCACATGCACTGAGCACAGGCTCCTCTGGGACCTCTTCATCACTGCTGCCAGCCTCCACAATCTCCAAAGGCAGCATTCCACTCCCTGATGGTCCTGGCCCCATCCCTGCGTCACACGCAGGCCCCTCATCTGAGTCCTCACTCTCAGCTGTCTGCACCTGCTGCCAGCGAACCACAACAGTTATAATTTATGACCCTTGCAGCATCTGCACAGTCGCCAGATCAAAATTTGGATGCTTGGCCATCGACTCATACTTACGACAGTCACAGTGTCCCCTGGTCTTTTGCGACCTTCTGAAAGCCAAGTCAAGGGGGAACACCAGATTCACTTAATGTTCTGACCCAAACCTGGTTCCAAAAGAGCAAACACAAGACAAATGCAGCAGTATAATCTTTTTATGTTTAAGCTAAGAATCCTGTTTCTTCACAGATAAAAGGCTGCTTCCAACTAATTAGCTCCGACAAGAAAGAGCCTTGCCAAGTTTTTGCAAGTCTGACAAAAAACAACAGATAAGAAACAGTTTACAAGAGTCTTCGAATACCAGCTGTAATGTCCACGAGGCTGAGTTTCAAAACATTTTTGCTTCCTACAAAGAACATCTGACTCACAGCTGGCTTTTATCTTCTTGAAGGAGGGGCCATTACCTTGCAGCCTTACTCCCGAGTCGCCCATGCTGTTGGAACTGCTCTCTCCTCCAAGCAATCCTGCGCACATGCGCACTTGGCACAGGCTCCTCGGGAACCTCCTCATCACTGCTGCCAGCCCGCACAATCTCTGAAGGCAGCAGCCCACTCCCTAATGGTCCTGGCCCCTCATCTGAGTCCTTGCGCTCCTCAGCCGTCCGTACCTGCTGCCGGGTAACCACAACATTTAACAGCCGTGTTACTAACTTGAACACCTGCAGTGATTCACTTAACAACTGTAACAAGGAAGGTCGCAAATTGGGGCAAAACGGACTTACCAGATGTCTCGCTTAGCAACAGAAATTTGGTACTCAGTTGTCATAAGTCGAGGACCCCCTGTAGTCCTCACTTAAATGACCATTTGTTCAACGACTGTCCCGAGTTACGACGGTGCTGAATGCAGGGCAGGTACAGCCAGTCCTCAAAGTTACGGCTCTTTCAGAACCCCCATAGTCACGTGTTCAAAATTGAGGCTCTTCGCAGCCCACCGGCCTTTGTGATCAAACTTGGTTAGGCATCCAGAATCTTTTGGGGCTGATCTAGAAATGTTGGTCTCTCTCTCTCTCTCTCTCTCTCTCTCTCTCTCTCTCTCTCTCTCTCTCTCTCTCTCACACACACACACACACACACACACCCCTACAGTACATAATGTTATAAAGCAGTATTTTTTAAGGTTGCCAACTTTTGAAGAACAGTGTTATCAATTGTTGGAAGAAATAGCTATGTGGTCCAGTTCCAAGCTAGGAGAAAGGCACTGGAGACAAAATGGAGGCTGGAGGCTGATTGGAAAGATGATTTAATGATAAAGCAGAACCACCAAGCACATGATTCTGGGCAGCTGACCACATGGAGTTGAGACTGAGGGGTGTTTTATACCTTCTCTTGGGCTTTGCCCTTGAGCTTCCTGTTCCTGGGCAAGAACATGTCTTCTATTGGTTGTTGTCAGACTGCCTTGGGACCATGTAGGGGTTATGTAGGGGTCATAGTTGGCTCTATAGGCAAAGTGTTTGTCTGAGCTAAGCTTGGTTGGTTTTTCTGAGGGTGATGCAATAATTAATGACTTTGCCCTGTTTTGGCTCTTGGGAGAGGACTGATCTGCCTTTGTCCAGACTTTGCTGCAGGGAGTAATGGATTACCAAATCTGCATTTCTAAAAGCTACCCCAGCTCAGTATCTGCTTGGGGGCAGGGAGCTGGGACTCTGGGTTTCTGTCTCCCTTAAGATTTTTTTATTTCTCTTTTAGGGGAAATATTTTATCCTGCCTTTTAAAAAAAAAACTGTAGAAAGTTAGCACCCATCCCTCTCCTAGAAGAATGGGATTCTTTGAGAAATATTTAAAAAGGCAGAATATTATATTTCCCCTAAAAGAGAAAGAGAAATCTTAAAGGGAGACAGCCACAGTTCTCTGCCCCCAAGCAGATACTAAGCTGAGGCCAGCTTTTAGTAAGGCAGATTTGGTAATCCATTCAAGACAGGATATTTTGAACAAAAGCAGAGTTAGATAGAAGTAGCTAAGATCAGCCCTCGCTCAAGATCCAAACCAGGAAAGCTGTTAAGACACAATAGGGACCAACACAATAGAGCCCAACACCCTTTCAGGACACCAAATTACGTCATCTCAGAGAGTCCAGGCTTCAACCAAATGTAATTCTTAATTAATACATTATTACATTAATACAATTAATACAATTGAGACATTAATACAATTGAGCGAGTCCAGAGGTATTTCACAAGAAGAGTCTTCCACTCCTCGGCTCGCAATAGAATACCTTATGCTACCAGGCTCAAAATTTTGGACCTGGACAACCTAGAACCGTGATGGCGAACCTATGGCACCTGTGTCACAGGTGGCACGCAGAGCCATTTTTGCCAGCATGTGAGCTGCAGGCAAACTTCCCTCACTGCGCATGTGTGCGCCTCACAGCTGATTTTTGGCGGGTTTGAGGCTTTTTTTTCAGCCTCCCAAAGGCTTGAGGAAGGCTTCTGCAGGCTTCTGCAGGCTTTGCAGGCTGAAAACTAGGCCCGTTTCGTCACTTCCTGTTTTTCCTGAAAATACCGGCAGTAATGAAACTGGGCTAGTTTTCATCCTGAAAAGCCTGCAGAAGCCTGCAGAAGCCTTCCTCAAGTCTCTGGGAGGCCGAAAAAGGCCTCAAACCCACCAAAAATCAGCTGTGAGGCGCAGTGCAGGTAAGGGAGTGGCAGGGGTGGGCGGGGTTTGCATGCGCATATGTAGGGGGCGTGGGGGGCGCACATTGCCTTCTGGGTGTTGGCACGCGAGCACGAGCATGCAAGTGCATGCACAATTTTTGCCATAGGAGCCCAAAAAGGTTAGCCACCAGTAACCTAGAACTACGCCGCCTACAGTCTGACCTAAACTTAGTACACAAAATTGTCTGCTACGAACGTCAATGACTACTTCAGCTTCAATTGCAAAAACACACGGGCAAACAATGGATACAAACTCAAAGTAAACTGCTCCAAACTCGATTGCAGAAAATAGAACTTCAGTGACAGAGTGGTCAATGCCTGGAACTCACTACCTGACTCTGTTGTTACATCCTCAAACCCCCAAAACTTTAACCTTAAAATGTCTACCATGGACCTCACTCCATTCCTAAGAGGTCTGTATAAGGGGGTGTGCATAAATGCACCAGCATGCCTACCATCCCTGTCCTACTGTTCCCATTTATTCATACTCGTTTATTATGTATATACTCATACCAGTTTATACTTATATGTTTATATGTTATCTTCATACTTATACTTGTTTTCTCATACATGTTTGACAAACAAAATAAATAAATAAATAAATAAATTTAGGCAACCTAAAAAGTTAGCTACGGTACCAGCCCTGCATAGCTCCCTGGGAGTCCGACAACCAATAGAATACATTTCTTGCTCAGGAACAGGAAGCTCAAGGGCAAGGCCCAAGAGCGGGTATAAATAACACTCACTCTACTCCATGTGTTCAACTGCACCAGGACCATGTGCTTAATGGTTCTGCTCCATTTAACCATCCTTCCAAGCATCCTCCATGTTTCCAGTGTCCTTCTCCCCATTTGGAACTGAATCCAGATGGATGTTTCTTCCAACATAATATTCCTCAAAATAGTTCATTCTTTGTGGAGGTTGGCTTCCCACAAAATCTTAATAGACGCCGTTGGAATTGACATTCGATTTCCTTCCTTAATGCAAATATTGGGGCGAAAGGAAAGATAGAAAGAAATGGCTGTGGCTCTATTTCAGGACTGGATTCCAAGAGCATCTTATTTGGAGGCCTGAAACAGGCTCAGGTACCCCACAATGAGGTTTCTGTTCTGTTGGATTTTCCAAGGAGACATTTAAGCAAGAAAAACAAAATACAGATACATTATATGTGGTACTTTGCTCAATCGTAGTAACTGTGAGAGGGATCTTGGAGTCTAATGGACAATCACTTAAATATGAGCCAGCCTTGTGCTGTAGCTGCCAAAAAAGCCAACACAGTCCTAGGCTGCATAAACAGAGGGATAGAATCAAGATCACGTGAAGTGTTAATACCGCTTTATGAGGCCTTGGTAAGGCCACACTTGGAATACTGCATCCAATTTTGGTCTCCACGATGTGAAAAAGACATTGAGACTTTAGAAAGATTGCAGAGAAGAGCAACAAAGATGATTTGGGGACTGGGACTTTATAAAACATATAAAGAATGGTTGCAGGTACTGGGTATGTTTAGTTTGATGAAAAGAAGGACTAGGGATGACATGATAGCAGTGTTACAATATCTCGGGGTCTGCCCCAAAGAAAAGGGAGTCAAGCTATTCTCCAAAGCACCTGAGGGTAGGACTAGAAGCAATGGGTGGAAACTAATCAAGGAGAGAAGCAACTTAGAATTAAGAAGAAATTTCCTGACAGTTAGAATAATTAATCAGCTTGACAAAAATAAAAAAAACCCTGCTTTGCTGATACCAGATCCGGAAAATAGGAAAATGGAAAGTGTGTTAATTAATACTACAAATTCATTGCATATTTTATACATACAAAGGAAGAAAAAGAGCAATTTTTTCAGGTAATGACTGAATGTAAAATTCTGTGTTCCAGATTCCAGGGAAACTCAGTGATGTAGTTCCCAAAAAAATTACAAGAAGTAGCTCTTGAGCTAAAAACTTCTCTAGGGCCATAAAAGGAGAATTACTCGGATTCAGAATAATGTCAGCTGGTGCTCCAGTCAAAATCCAAGAAAGAAATACTTAGACTCCATTAATTAGAGAAAAGATATCTTTTACCCGGAAATCAAGTGGCAGCTTCAAAGGAATTCTGAATCGGAGAAAATGAGCCCGTGAATCACATATACAAAGTGATGGCAACATTCCCACCCACAATAATTCAAACTGTCCATCCAATTAAAAATTGTATATAACGTCACGTGGGCATCTTCAGGTGGTGATCTGGCATCTGTCCATTGATCTTGACATATTTTGATAAAGAGGTATGCTTACGCATAGCATAAGAAAGAAGCATAAACAAGCAACTTCCCCTCCTCAACTTATACAGTTTATTCTGAAACTTCCAGCTCGCTTCCCATAACTATTTCACCCCCCAACCCACCCTGTTACTTATGACAGCCGAAAGATGCAAAGCAAAGGAAATAAATCTTGAAGGCTGACAGGTGCTCTCATTTATTCCAAATTAGGGTTTTTTCTGATGCTGGATTTCTATGATGTTCCAGGAAAATTTGCCACCTCCGAGCAGGATTATGCAGAAAGCAATCTTAGAATCGTTAGGAATGTCTTGAGAAGCTGAATGGGAGAGAGTGGAAATGGCAATTGTGTGAGATTATAGTGGTTGATGCTTGCCTTTTCTGGTCATATCCAGGTAAACATGAAAATTTTGGCCAGTTCAACGTGCCATCAAGTTGATATCAACTCTGAGTACCTGAACAGCTAACAAGAGGCAATGAGTAGAAGCTTCTCACAGAGAGATCCAACCTAGAATTAAGGAGAGATTTCTTGTCAGGGAGAACAAATAATTAGTGGAATAACTTTTTTTCAGAAGTTGTGGGTGCTCCAACACTGGAGGCTTTCACGAACAGACTGGACAGCCATTTGTCTGATACTGAGTTTCTTGCTTGAGTAGGGGGGGTGGTTTAGAACAGTGGCCGCCAATTGGTGGTCCGTGGCCCACTGGTGGTCCGTGAGAAAATTTTGGCAGTCCACAGAGAAATGTAACCTCCAGAGCACACACCCCCCCAAAGTAATTAATCCAGGCTGCACAGGAACACAAGGCTGCGCCGCCCACGTGGCCCATGGGAATCCTCTCCGCCCACTTTATTTATTTATTTTTAATTTTATTTGGTTTGTCAATTGCTTACAAGATAATAGGTATAAGTAAAAACATAGTTATGAATACATGGATACAAATAAGAAAAATAAAAGAAGAATAAGAGAAACAATAGGACAGGGACGGTAGGCACGTTGGTGCGCTTATGCACGCCCCCTACAGACCTCTTAGGAAAGGGGTGAGGTCAATAGTAGACAGTCTAAGGTTAAAGTTTTTGGGGTTTGGGGAAGAAACCACAGAGTCAGGTAGAGTATTCCAGACATTGACCACAATGTTGCTGAAGTCATATTTCCTGCAATCTAGTTTGGTGTGATTAACCTTGAGTTTGTATCTGTTGTTTGCTCTTGTGTTGTTATGGTTGAAGCTGAAGTATTCATTGACAGGTAGGACATTGCAAGGTATGATTTTGTATACTATACTTAGATCGGACTGAAGGTGGTGTACTTCTAGCTTTTCTAGGTCTAGAATTTCGAGGCTGGTGGCATAAGATATTCTGCAACGAGTAGAGGAGTGGATAACTCTTCTTGTGAAATATTTCTGGACTTTCTCAACTGTGCTAATATCAGATACGTAATGTGGGTTGCAGACTGATGAGCTGTATTCGAGTATTGGTCTAGCAAATGTTTTGTATGCTCTAGTTAGTAGTGTAATATTACCAGAGAAAAAGCTACGTAAGATTAGGTTAACAACTCCTTACCTGGCAAATTTGCCTGCTAAGTTGCTATTTTTCCCAACCATCAACTGTTCTGCTGTGCTGGGAGATTTAGATTAGCTAGAAAGCAGGAAATCGTTGCATTTCTTGCTTTTTAGCTAATCTTTAGATCTTCGGCTCTGCTTTTAAGCAGAGCCAAACCTTCCTTAGGACTGAAACAGTACAGACTCAGCTAGCCAATGGCAGAAACACAGATCTCCAAGGTTGGCGACACCTGCTATATACCATTCTTGACTTGCTTTAGATTTGATGGGATGGATACACACGATCATAGGAAAAATAACAGAACAAAATAATAATACCGTGTGAATCTTTAATGCATTAGTTTTATTTTATTTTTTGTTTTTTTGGTTTTGTTTGCTAGACATTGGCTTTGAGAAAATAAAGGAGGAAAATATGTAAAATAAAATAGGTGGTAAGCTGGAAAAGAAAAGAATAGGGGATAAAGAATGGAAAATATGTTTAAGAACAAAATGTTTTTTGTTGTTGGATTGATGAATGGAAAATATGAAGTGAAAAAGTTATGTATGGTGTCACCTGGAATCACATTGCTCACTTGAAGAGATGTATACAAAATAAAAATAAAAGCTTTCTTAAAAAAAAAAAAGAACGAAATAATAGAGTTGGAAGTGATCTTGCAGGTCTCAAGCATGAGACTCTATACCAGGGGTGTCCAACCTTGGCAACTTTAAGACTTGTGGACTTCAACTCCCAGAATTCCTCAGCCAGTTGGACACCCCTGCTCTATACCCTTTCAGATAAATGGCTGCCCAGTCTCTTCTTAAAAACCTCCAGTGATGGAGCACCCACAGTTTCTGGTGGCAAGCAGTTCCACTGATTCATTGTCCTCACTATTAGAAAATTATTCCTCAGTTCCAGGTTGCTTCTCTCCTTGATTAGTTTCCATCTGTTGCTCCGTGTCCTGCCTTCACGTGGTTTGGAGAATAGGCTGATCCCTTCTCCTTCGGGGCAGCCCCTCACATATTGGAACCCTACTATCATGTCACTTGGTTGGGGTCCGCTTCAATCTTCCTCCTTTATCCTTTCAGCTGATTGGCGCTGAAGGCCTCAGCTGGTTGGGGAAAGCTGTGCGCTACGAATTCAAATTTTTTGACTACCAGTTCTGTGGGCGTGGCTGGGGATCATGGCCATGTGACTGGGTGGGTGTGGCTTTTTTTTTTTGCTTTTTGCAACACTCTCCCCCTCCCCCTCCCCCATTTTTTGGGCCTTCTGGGCCTCAGGCAAGGCTCCTGGGAGGGGACATTTTTGTTCCCAGAGGCAGGAAACGTAGCATGGGGGGAGCACAGCAACCCCCCACGCTTTGTTTTAGGCAGGGGTGGGATTCCATTTTTTTAACAACCGGTTCTGTGGGTGTGGCTTAGGTGGTGGGCGTGGCTTGGTGGTCATGTGACTGGGTGTACATGGCTTGGCGGTCATGTTATTGGCTGGGCGTGGCCAACTCAACATCACTCACATCAAGGCACGCATCTCCTCGCCTGGCCTCTCATGACTGTGGGGATGCTGCAACAGTCGTAAGTGTGAAAAATGGCCATAAGTCACTTTTTTCAGTGCCATTGTAACTTTGAATGGTCATTCAACACAAGCAAAGTACCAGCAAAGGAGGGGAAAAAAACTCCAGAGAAGTTCCTGAGACAGGAAGTCTAGTCCTGCCAAGAATGTAAATAAGGGTTGACGGAGAGGCAGTTTCTGTAAGCAACACCAGAATGTTTCCTTCCTGCCTTCCTTACAGGATTAGGCCAGTAATTTCTTCTAACAACCGGTTCTCCGAACTGCTTAGAATGTTAACAGCTGGTTCTAGCAAATAGGTGCGAACTAGTAGAATCCCACCCCTGGTTTTAGGGCCTCCCTGGGGCCCAGGAAGGCAAAAAATGGAGGGAGCAGGGTTTTATTTTGCCTTCCTGGGCCTCAGGGAAGCCTCCTGGGCGAAACAGTAAGACAGCGAGGGGAATCCCAGGACAGCTGATTGTAGGAACATCTGATTGTCAGGAAGGACAAAAAAAAAAGAAATACCTTAAAGCAGTGGTGGCTATCCTTTTTGGGCTCCTGTGCCAAAAATTGTATGTGTGCTTACACGCTCGCACTTGTATGCCAGCACCCAGAAGGCAATGTGCCCCCCAACACCCCCTATGCATGTGTGCGCAATCCACCCACCCCTCATCGCCCCCTTATCTGCACTGCGCCTCACAGCTGATTTTCGGTCTGTTTGAGGCCTTTTTTTGGCCTCCCAAAGGCTTGAGGAAAGTTTCTGCAGGCTTCTGCAAGCTTTGTAGGCCGAAAACTAGTCCCATTTCATCACTTCCTGTTTTTCCAAAAATACTGGAAGTGATGAAACGGGGCTAGTTTTCGGCCTGCAAAGCCTGCAGAAGCCTCCCTCAAGCCTTTGGGAGGCCGAAAAAGGCCTCAAACCAGCCGAAAATCAGCTGTGAGGCACCCACATGTGCAGTGAGGTAAGTTTATCATGGCCTTAAGTAGTGACTGGGCAGACTAGCTTCAGGCGGGCAGGGTGACCAAGCATTGGGCGGGTGGGGCAAGGGAGCAAGCAGCAAATGGGTAACTGGGTCAGGGGCATGTCCAGCCAGAAGTTACTACCAGTTCCACAACCCACATCAAATCATTGCTACCGGTTTGCCGAAACCGGTGCAAACCGGCTAAATACCACCACTGGCACGATCACCAAACTGGTAGTAAAACAGATAGGATCCCATTGCCTTGGACCAATCGCTAGGAAGGAATCCAGGGCAAATCCACTTCAGAAAAACCTTGCCAAGAAAACTACAGAGATAAGTCCACTCCAAGCAGTCTCTGGAAGTCAGACAGGATTGAAAAAGGTATATACATAAAAAAAAGAGGGTTATCGTATTTATAAATCTGTCAGGGACTGAGCTGACTGAAGACAAAGTTTCCAAACATTCCTTAGCCCTGTTAGATTGGGCCTTTGGTGTAAAATAGTATTTCTTGGCTGAAATTGCCATTGAATGAGTCATTTGTTGAGTGATTAAGGGATTTTCGTTATTTGTGATTCTTGCTCAGCGATGATATAAGTATGTCACACAGCCAAGAGAGTTTGACTAAAAATATTATTCTGTCTAGTTTTTACTTGACTTCCAGTGATAGATTTTTTCCAGTAGAAGGTGTCATGCCCCTGTCGAAATCTGATTCAGAGCAGGAGGTTGAACAGCTGACAGGGACTGGGAGTGTGGCTCCGTTGGTTGTGGAGGAAACTGGGGAAGGGCACAGTCTGGCTGGGCAGAGCAGGGGAGAGGTAGAGCAAGGGAGAGGGAATTTGGAGGAAGATCCAGGCCTACCCCCTCTTCATCCTAGGGCACGCAGGGAGGAATGGAGAATGGAGCAATGTGAGTTGCGTGGTTTACGGGGGAGGAAAGGGCCCTGATTCCCTTCATTAACTGCAGCTGGGAAAACAGTGTTTTAAAAGGGAAGCTACACACAGCAAAGTTGCTGGAAGCAAACTGTGAGTTATCTTTGTTTGTGGAGGCTTATCTGGGTTCCTGGCATCTTCCCAACTGTGTGTGTTTTGTTGGCTTTTGAAGTCTGGAATTCCTTCTCCTGCCTTGTTCAGTTAATTGCCGCAGTGTGGTTTGTGTGGATTTTTATTTAAAGTTTATATGTACTTTGTTTTCGGGCTGAATTTCTTCCATTTAAAGACTGTTATTGGGAGAGTTTTTTCTCCAGCCAAAGGTAACTGGACATTGGGGGCAAAGTTGGAGGTATTAAAAGGATTTTTCTTCCTTATGTGACTGTGTTGCCTTCATGCCACACCCCTTTAGGTAATCACAGAAGGTTTTGCTAAAATCCAAGCCAAGAAAGGCAGCATCATCTCTGCTTTTCAACAACTTGGATTATCCAGAATTTCTTTCTCACTCCGTCCTATTTTTAGTCAGTCAAGTTCAAACTCTCTTGGCTGTGTGACATAGTCTTATATCATCGCTGAACAAGAATCACCAATACTTGCGAAAGGTCATTTCTCAATTGAGACTTGAACGTGGAGAATCGAATGAAACCATAGGTAATCCTCAAATTTACGACAGATAAGAGATAACAAATAATCAGAGTTGGAAGGGACCTTATAGGTCATCTAGTCCAACCCCCCCTCAAGCGGGAGACCCTACAGCATTTCTGACAAATGGCAATCCAGTCTCTTCTTGAAAGTCTCAAGTGATGGCGCTTCCACAACTTCCGAGGGCAACTTCTGTTCCATGGGTTGATTGTTCTCACTGTCAGAAAGTTTCTTCTTATTTCCAGGTTGAATCTCTCCTTGTTCAGTTTCCATCCATTATTCCTCGTCTGGCCTTCAGATGCTTTGGAGAATAGCTTGACCCCCTTCCTCCTCTCCGGGGCAGCCCCTCAAATATTGGAAGGCTGCTCTCCTGTCTCCCCTGGCCCTTCTCTTCCCTAGACTAGCCAAGCCCAGTTCCTGCAACGGTTCTTCATATGTTTGAGCCTCCAGTCCCCTAATCATCCTGGTTGCTCTTCTCTGTACTTTTTCTAGAGTCTCAACATCTTTTTTATAGTCTGGTGACCAAAACTGGATGCAGTACTCTAGGTGTGGCCTTACTAAGACTTTACAGAGTGGTATTAATACCTCCCTTGATCTCAGTTGTATCCCTCTGTTAATGCAGCTTAGGATTGCATTGGCTTTTTGGGTTGCTGCCACACACTGCTGGTTCCTATTTAGCTGGTTGTCCACTAAGACTCCAAGATCCCTCACACAGTTACGACTATTGAGCCTGGTTTCACCCAGTCTGTATGTGTCCTTTTGGTTTTTCTTGCCTAAGTGTAGGACTTTACTTTTCTGTACATTGAATTTCATTTTGTTGGATACGGCCCAGTGTTCTAGTCTGTCAAGATCCATCTGAATCTTGAGCCCATCTTCTTGGGTGTTAGCTATTCCTGTCAGCTTAGTATCATCTGCAAATGTGGTCAGTTCCCCTTCTAGTCCCTCCTCTAAGTTGTTAAGGAAAATATTGAAGACCACAACGGAGCATAGAATTTCTACTGCTAAGCCAGACACAAGCGAAGTGAATTTTGTACCGTTTTTACGAACTTTCTTGGCGAAGTTGTTAAGTGAATTGCTGCAGTTGGTAAGTGAGTAACCCGGTTGTTAAGTGAACCTCGCTTCCCCGCTGACCCTTTGCTTGTCGGAAGGTTGCAAAAGGGGATCGCTTGATCCCAGGGCACTGCAACTATCGTAAATAGGAGTCAGTTGCCAAGTGTCTGAATTTGGATCACGTTCACCACAGGGAGGCTGCGAAGGTTGTAGGAGTGAAAAACGGTCATAAGTCTCTTTTTTCAGTCCCGTTGTAACTTCAAATGGGCACTAAATGAATAGTTGTAAGTCAAGAACAGCCTTTAAAATATAAATGGGCCCATGTTCATCACGTATGCCTAATAACTTGCTATATTATACCCATAATCTTCTGGTTCCTAGAGAGAAAGTTTAAGGGACTGGATTGCCATCTGTCAAAAATGGTGTAGGGTCTGCTTGGGCAGGGGGAGGCAGGGGTTGGACTAGATGACCTACAAGGTCCCTTCCAACTCTGTTAATATCTGTTAAATCTGAGTTTAGAATTCAGGTAACCCTCAAATTACGAGCAAAATCAGGACCACCATTTCTGTTGCTAATCAAGGC